GCATGCGATGAGTACCATGTGACACCTTCTTAATTGCTTCGAATTCTAACGCGTGAGCAGGGGCGTTCTCGATCCTCTCGTGCCTTGCTAACCTTAACGCTTGCTGGACATCACTATTTCGTACATCATCCATGAAAGTTTGCACGGGTAGTTGATCTAAGAAACTTTGTGGTGTTGATGGGTAGGCTAGACGGATCAATCTGGCGATATCCGTTTCCAATTCCCCAAGCTTTCTCCAGGCGGTTCTTCAGTTGCGTGTAATACACCTTTTGGTGGTACTTGTCGCGCGGTGACTTATTTCCAACCGTGCTGATATCTGGCAAAATATTGCTATTGTTCCGGAATATTTCTATTCTATGCAGTCAATCTTCTCATTTAATTGAGTTTTTACCATTTCTACCTTGCTGTTCACATCGGTAATTCGGTCTTGAATTTTATCTTCAATTTGAGAAATCCCTGAATTTGTTATTGGTCGTTCCATTTGTACTAGCTCAAATTGAGAATGAGTCTCTCTTCACTTCTTGTTCTTGAAGTAGTTGGATGATTGTTTCTTCCATTTTAGTCGCGGTAGATCTTGTAATAAAAATTATAATTACCTATCGATTAACAAAATTTATTTAATGCTATGCCTTTCAGGAATATGACGGATTGTCCTTGTCAATATCCGTGTCGCCTTGGCGAACTCCCTATAAACGACGCCTAAGCCTAACCATTGAATTTATAGATTTATAAATTCAATGGCCTAACTTCGGTACACTATTTTCTTGTAAATGTAACTGCGCGGCGGTTTGTTTGGTCTTTCTAATTTTCGCGATACCGTTGTCTAATTTGCTGAAATTGAATACCGTTGTCCAGAAACTTTTTGAACTTTTATGGAGAAGCTTCTAAAAATACGTTATATACATATAGGTACATGTTGTATGTATCTTATATCATCTCTTGTCACTGTGAGGCGTGGACGTGGACTAATTTTGTGCAGAGTTCGTTGGAATTTTTGCTGTACTTACAGTTTAGTTATGTTACCAAAATTACATCTGAGCATGTATAGCTGCTGCTTTGGCGTACGTTTTCTGGCTTATCACTCTTCAGCTTTATGACAGAATTATAAATTGGTGTAGTTGAGTGACCTCTATTTTGAGATGGTATTTACTTCCTTAGGAAGTTAGAAAATCTGTTTACATTGCGGTATTGTGAACTTTTTGGGAAATGGCATGAAATAACGATGCTTCGAGCTGTTACTTTCGTGTAATAGTTAGGAATTTAGCCATTCATTATTTCGATGAATTCCAATTTTGCACACTGGCCACTGGCCTTTCCAAGTGTGCAGACATCTTATGAAATCCCAGTATCCAATTTACGTACGTACGTACGACGCAGGCATTGTACCAGGAATACAAAATAGTTCACCGGTTACATTAAAACCGCAATGTTTCGTATTACTTTAAGAACAGATTACCCTACCCGCACCTAATCTTTGGTTTAAGTAAATCTCTATAATACTAGTAACTAGAGTAGGCAGCATGCAAGCTGTTAATTTGCTTAGTGCTAAATTGGAGATTGTCTTGAAGGAAAGAAGTCATCCATGATCCTCAGCCACTACAAATGGATCAATACCATCCGAGCTGTCGTCGCTAACCCTCCAATCATACTCAACTTCCTCATGTGTTTCGCTTCAAATTCTACGACGACTACACTAAACTTGCAGCCTTCTGTTGAAATCCCGACCCTCGGAGGTGCCTTAGGGACTGGTCCTACTGAACTGGAGAAATAAATGCTTGGTGATTGGCGATTGATGAAGCTTGTCAGATGGTATGGGTTGAGAACTAGATGGTAAAGCGATATGTACAACATTTATTTGACAAAGATGGGACTAGCATTTGCTGGTTGATGGAAATCTGATTTTAGGTGGAATGGTTTTTCAGCCGACTTTGACTTAAACGTTAAACTTAAAAAAAATTCTAATGATCATTTTATTGGTTTACAAAAACTGCACTCGTGTAGGTATTATTAACTGCTATTGTACAAGAAAATGTCCAAGTATTGGATACACGACCTGAAAATGTAGACATCCATTAGGTCTTGTTTATTATGTAGGAATATGGGAGATCTTTCTACTAAAGTTTGCAGTATTTGATAATCGTCTGTTACAGTTCAAATTTCAATTTCCTATAGCATTTTAGTACCTGGCTTTATACAAAATTTGTTAGATGTCGTTTAAGGTTTTAAAGTAAAATTTAAGGCGATAAATGATAACGCCGATCGCTATTATTGGAATAATTGGGTATTGTTGCTTCGCACTTGGTCGTTGTTGCATCCATTTTGATATTAATCGAGTGCGAATATAAAAGAAATTTGAGTTATCCTTAGTAAAGGTAGTTAGAAGTATCTAATTAGCATTGTCTTAGAAGACTTGATAACTCAAGAATTAATTGATTTAAACAGCAACTTATATCTGCAGGCCGCCCGTTATCTCAGGTATTATTTCCATTGTATTACGCGGTTTTATCGTCAATAACTATTTTAGGCCTGTTTATTTTTTTCCGTTTTCTTTCCCATTTTGGGATTTCGCCTACTTTTGATTTGGAATCGTATATAAAGGAGTTCGTCCGGAAATTAGACGTACCCTATCACCGTTTCTACTTGAAGATAATTGCCCAGGAAATGCCGCACGCCAAGGAGATTATTACCTTTACCAATTTATCAAAATGGCCGCTGTCGTCCCAAAGATAAGCTAAACTTCAGTTAAGGTCAGCTCTCTTTTATATTTATTATCACCAACTATTGGAGTCGCCGAATTTCCGTTTACTATCGAACATCGAATATCAACTTTAACTTTCTTATATCGAACGAATACATTTTTTTTATTAAGTTATTATCACTAATTAGAGTCAAATTTTGAAGTAAAATTCTGTCAGGGAATCTACGAGGTCGCTCCAAAAGTTACTTGAACGCGTTATAAGGTTGCGTGTATATTTAGGGTGTTCCCTTAGGCGGTATCGTCAAATGCCGCACGCCAAGAAGATTATCACCTTTACCACTTTATCTTTGGGACGACAGCGGCCATTTTGATAAATTGGTAAAGGTGATAATCTTCTTGGCGTGCGGCATTTCCTGGGCAATTATCTTCAAGTAGAAACGGTGATAGGGTACGTCTAATTTTCGGACGAACTCCTTTATATACGATTCCAAATCAAAAGTAGGCGAAATCCCAAAATGGGAAAGAAAACGGAAAAATAAACAGGCCTGAGATAACGGGCGGCCTGCAGATATAAGTTGCTGTTTAAATCAATTAATTCTTGAGTTATCAAGTCTTCTAAGACAATGCTAATTAGATACTTCTAACTACCTTTACTAAGGATAACTCAAATTACTTTTATATTCGCACTCGATTAATATCAAAATGGATGCAACAACGACCAAGTGCGAAGCAACAATACCCAATTATTCCAATAATAGCGATCGGCGTTATCATTTATCGCCTTAAATTTTACTTTAAAACCTTAAACGACATCTAACAAATTTTGTATAAAGCCAGGTACTAAAATGCTATAGGAAATTGAAATTTGAACTGTAACAGTCTTTAGAAAAAAAGAAGTACGTAGGCAACTCATTGTACACTTTGACATTATCCATGAGATTGCTTACTTTTTACTAAGTGGCAATCAATCTACCAATTGTTGTGTTAAGACTGAGGTCAGGGCATTTCTTTCTTGTACTGCTATCATCCTGCCTCAAATGTTTTTAGAAATATGACTTTGTAAACCTATTGATGTTGGAAGGAGGATCATACTACTCGAGAAGGTGGTGCTACTGGTCGCTGGACTAAAATTTGAAAGGTTAATTATCAGCTCATGCAGTTAGTTGAACCTAGTGGTGCAGTGGTACAGTTTATTACTAGCAGCTTAAAACCAATATAATCATTGCAATATTTGGTTACACACTTTCTTTACGGCTAAAAATCAGTGAGGATGTTTGATACCACCTTATAAAGGGGGGGGGGGGCATTCTGGATCGCCTATGTTAGTCAATTTTCAGACATGATGAATGATCTCACACTGGAAAATTTACGACCACACCACTGCTTGAACCAACTTCCTTGGCCTGTGAGATTGATATGGTTAGTCTGCAATGAAACTGAAAAAATAAACAATAACAATGAGTACTTATTTCAACGAGTCTATTCAAAAAGGTAAGCTGACGTTTCATTCACATCATCTTATACAAGAGTGAGAACTTCAGCGACAACAATATCCGGATCCTTTCAATAAACAAATTAGATGGTCATATTCTAATAGCTGGGCACTGAATCGTTGGATGAATTTTATATGTAAAGCGGAATAGCCAACCAGTTTGTTTATTTAACTGATAAATTAAATTGAATAAACACGTATACAGGCTGTTGCATAAAACGGCCATCGCTGTATCGCCAGAAAATTCGAACCCCGGAATATTCATCTCCGGAAGATTTCCCCTCAGAAAATTTGATCTTTCTTTAATCACTGTAAATCGTTGCGACATCAGTCGTTACTGCTGATATTAAACGATGTGCCTGATTAAATCGTGATCAGCCGTTTTAAGCAAATATACGGAAAGAGCGTTTGATGTTTGCATGAAATTTGTCTGGGGCGAGTATTGTTAAGGGTAGACTCTAGCATAGAGACAGAATTTCACTGATTCCTTTTACATGTCATTATGAGACTGAACTCAACAATTTAACAAAGGCATAGCAGTTGAGTCAAAGATGGAGTTCCTAAGATCAATCCTTTGAAGTTCACTTCAGACTTTCTTGAACGTGAATTTTCCTGTGACCTTGGCTAGGGAGTCTTCCAGTGGGCCGAATACTCTAAGGAGAAATATTTCGACGGCAAATGCTTCTGGGGGCGAATCATAGGGGTGTAAATTTTTAGGGGCGAATATTCAGGGGGCGATTTTATCGACAGTTCCCTTTTTTATGCCACAGCCTGTATATTACTAGATTAGTCGATATAAAAAAAAGAGAATAGAATTTTATATTTTTATTTCTTAAATGTACAGATATTTATTACAACAATTTGCATTTGTTCATTTTTAACATCTTTTGTGTTTATTTCTTAAACAAAACATCCAAGGCACCGATCTTCCAAACTTTTTTAAATACTTTGCCTTTAAAAACAGTCTACTTTTCTACAAATACGATGTAGAATTGTTTGGATTTATTCTAAATAATTTTAGTATTCTAATCTACACCACTAGTCCTCGATAAAATACATATATACATTTTACAATGATTGCATTTCGCACAACTTGTCTTTTTTTTGGCTTCGGCCATCCCAATAACGTTTACGCAATGTGTTAGTTGTTTTTCGCGGACCAAGAGCAATTTTATTGTAATGAGAAGAAGATTGCGTAAAAGTTATCAATCAAGAAATAGACACACAAAAATAGTTACGCTCGTTTGTGTAAATAAAATTGTGTATCGGCATATTTTACTACGTTATTTTTATTGCTTTTTTAACGTAAACATGCAAACAATTGTAAGATATTTTAAAAACAGTGATTACTAAAATTAACAGAATTCTAATATTGCTTCAAGTTACCAAAAATATCACTGCTTTTTAGATGAGCTGTGTTAATAGTGTAAAAATACATCATTTATTGCAAGCATTTTCTTTATGAATAAAATGCTATTTGGGATAAGTACATTAAAACTAATCACAGAAGCATTTCCACAAACTAAGCTTTTGGAGCAGGGTGGAAATTAATTCTTAGTTTCTGGACGTGCCATGTGTTATAATATACGGCATAATTTGGGGATAAAAACATATGACCGATGTTGGTTAACAAAATTCCGTTGATATGTAATTTCGTCATAAAAAATTAAAGGAACATTGAAATTTGAGTTACCTATTCGTACAATATGTTAACTTACATCAGTCACGCTCTCTTTAGAAGAGAGTACTGGAAATGACTACGGGAAGCAAAAGATTATTAGACGTGAAGAGAAGAAAATTTAAAAGTTACTTGCTATTATCTTCATTTTATAGAAATGTTATACCTACTAGTTCGTGTACGCTTACATAGAAACCTATATAATCGATTTTTATCGTATTAATCACAGTAATCCTGACAGGGCTGTATTCAGTTTAATTTACAACACAACCAATTCGGCTTTATCAAAAACCTTTTTGTTTAAACACTGTTCACAACCAAAAGAAAGTTTCAATTAAGGAACAGCTAAATACAGTCTCATCTTTGAAGGATTTTTCACCTAGATTTCATTATTTACCCTAATGTTCTACGTCATGAATCATCTTTGAATGTAGGAGACGACTGCTATAATTAAATTTAATAATGGGATAATATTCATCGTCCAATGAAATTGGTTCCGCGCACTCATACTATTTATATCAACGCATTTTCCTGAAAATGAGAAATTCTTTTAATATAATAGAAGAGAATGAATTCTAAATTTCATTTACCAATAATGGTCGCGTTAAATATCAGGTCCCCAGTAACTCCAGGCTTCAGCGAACGATCGCAATTATCAGACGATGATGAAAATAATAATAAATAAGGATCGTATTCACGATATATGAAGCAATATCTGTGCGCTCCATGTGGCGATCTACTTATAGGAGTTGCTATTAAATAATGCGTTCCATTTTCTTCCCATCCGCCATGACAGGAGTACGCTGTAACGTTAAAATTAATCATTTTTGTTTTCGTGGAGAATGATACGTTCTTATCGAGTACATTTTTAGTAATGCTGAACATTTTCCACGGGTTTGGTATTAAAAAATAAACGAATTTTAAAATGGAAACTTTGCGTGGCGAAGTTTGCTTAACGTCGCAGTTGAACGATTCTATTGGTGTAAAGGTTCTCGGATCACTATTAAAAACTTTACTGGAAATGCAACTTTCCAATATTTCTTGTGATAACGAAATAACTTACTTTCCGGCAATAAATTGTAATGCAGTAAACTTGACTAAACTTGCTCTATAGATAGGAAACTATTTTGATCGCGAAATAATTTTGTTGAGAGATCTATTATTTTCTGGGGTGTTAACTTTAATCCAACGCGTTTCATTTAATGCTTTTATCTTTTGTAAGGCATATATAGTAATATAAGTATTTGTAAATGGTGAATATTACACTATTACAGGATTCCTTCACTCAACGCAATTACTGTGCAATCTATTGATAAATCAAGAAATAGCTAATTAGTGGTCTAGTTCATCATTTCGGTTTTTATGTTTATTTAAGCTCTTTTTTTATGGAGAAGCCGAAATTCGTACAGAAAATAGACCTGCGTTATGCACAAATTACTGCGATCAATTTCCACTAAGAAATAATTACACAAAAAAGGCAATACAGCAAAAAAGAGTAGGTATTTGACATAATATAATATTATCAAATTATCTAGTTTTTCACGAGTTATGATACAAGAAGGTGAAAAACGAAATATAATGATAATTCACGTAAACGTGGTCGGCAATTTAGATTGAAAACATTTTCGATCATAGTAGGTATATTTGAATTTGAAGTCTATGTTGATTTGTTTTAGAATTATTATTAGATGTTGATTAAATAATCGCCCTGTATTTTGTTTGCTTTATTGTTCAGTGAAATTGCAATAAAAAATTAGGGACATCTGGAAATAATTGCATAGTGCTTTTTTAAGTTTATCTCTGATCTTGCGATAAGAGGTTAGTTTTCGCTGCGTAAAAGCTTATTAGTTTGTAGATGTTCGCCGTTAATAAATTCAAGAGCGAGTTAGCGAAGATGTGCATAAATTGTTACAAGAGGGGGGGTTTTTCTTTCGAAAGTGGCTAAATTGAATTTAATTGGTGTACGATCGAAAATAGTCCCCTTATCTCGAACTGGGGTTCTGTGCAAAGGTGTCGATCCTATAACGCAAAAAGAGAGATTCTAGACATTCCGGGGGAGGGCAAAGAACACTTTCACAAGAAATAGTGACATTTCGGGATGGAGTGGCCAACCAAATTATGACCCCAAAAGGTCTTCGAATGTTTTCAATTGTTTTTAGCCGCGTCTGTATCGTAAATTCCTTCGTTTAGACATTCGAAATCTCGAGGTTTAAAGGAATATTTTTACAAAATTGGAAAGGACGTCCCAATATCCTATAAAAAAAAAAGCGACATCCTTCTTGGTGCGTCTTATGGTTGTCGAGAAAAAATTAAAAAGGAAGTAATAATAATAAATTAAATTTTGTTCCCATACTTTTTAATAATAACAAATATCTCCCTACTACAGAAAATAACATTTAAGGAAAAATACTGTTGCTTTGGTATACCTACTAGCAGTAAGAAGGTCTAATTGGTTTTGGAAAAAGGCTACCGTCGGTTTATTTCAAAAACAAATATTTGTTTTGCCCGATTTGTTTGGCACAACTGAAATGCAGCACTCTGTAGGCATGGTCCATACGTTTTGCAAAGAACTGAGAATATCTTGTACTTCAAATTCATAGGCACGTAACACGTTTCCATATATTTACTTCTTGATAGTAAAATTCAAATAATTTCTGCAGTTACTGTGAAAAAATTCCAATTGTGTAAATTAAGGTTTCTATAGTTTTAATCCCTCTCGGTCCGTATATTGTAATACTGAATGGCGTACTTTCATTTAACTGTTGTCTACGAATAATGAAAAACCAATCCCGAAGGCGTAAGCTTTAAACGATTATACTGATACATATTATTGTGGAACATTCGAATGAAGTTGACAAAACTATCGGCCTGAGTCATTATTTAAAAAGATCGGCTATACACGCGAAATGTTGAAACATGTACGTAATTTGTCACAACATGCTTGTTAAATGTCACAATATGATCGATCTTATACGTGTAAGCTCACGCAAATCGACAAAATCGCGTGTCATTTGTAATTTAGATGATTGTGTACGAGCACACGGAACGTGGTCCTTTCATAATCGCAAATTATGTACATTTCGCGACTTATTGACAATTTTGCAAACTAGCCACGTTACTGGATTATCTAGAACAGCGGTTCTCAAATTTTCATACTCAGCGCTCCATTTAAACAATTGCTTTTTCCACCCCTTGCGTGGAATAGGCACGGGCCGACTCGAGGAATTAAAATTAGACTCGTTTTCAAGGCTGGCATTCAAAATCTAGAAGGTCATCGAATTGTCTGGAGGTAACTGCACTACAGATTTTGCCACGCGCAGGTTGGAAACGAGGAATTAAATTGGAGTACGCTATAAATATGGTTAAATTGCTAATTGAATTCGATGGTACATACCAACTAAGTAAGAAATCTTCATTAAAAATAGTGTTTTCCATCATGGAAATTATGGCATGCTAATGTACTCCTCGCTTCGTTACTCAGTGAAAGTAGTGTACGACCTTCCGCCATTAAACCCTTTCTCTCTAATCCTAGCCTGTGTGAGAGGGCTGTTCATCAGGGATCATATTGCGGTGATGAAGTTTCCGATTCACTTCAGGGCTTTGTCTGCTCTTTTCCATTGATTCCATCTCTCTGGTCTTTACATCTCTCTCAGCAGGCTGCAACATTGCTTTTATTATGACTTCGGTTATCCGGACCCCTCCTGGAACGTTAAGCATCACTATCTCATCGTATTACTACATCCCAAAGCATCAGTCTCCGTACCGACCTCTTGTGGTACTTTTCCGTGTTCTTCCGATAATAGCCTTGTTAAAAACCATATTGGTTTGCTCTGATTGAAACGTAGCTTTCCACTCTGAAAGCCCAAGGTCGCTGATGAGAGCTATCTGGCGCACTCTGAACTGAACCCTCTGCGCTTGTTCCAAAACTGTAGTAAACCTTTTGGATGCTAGGGGAGCGGTTTGCGTGAAATGAAATTTATTGAGAAACGGCTCTTTTCCCTTTATTCGTGAATCTTTGAATTTAGTTTGAGTGCAATTTCCTGGGTAAGATAACAATAATAACAATTCCAACGTGATATTCACGAAAACATATTATTAATATCAAACTCAATCCGGATCCACTCATTTACAATTTTTTGCGTTAATATTAGCTCGACGAAACTTTTCCGAATCCAACTATTTTACCAAATTTCAAACCCTTGATCACGTTGTTTTCTAAATCTTTCTAACTCTTAACTCTGTTTACTTTCTACTTTATAGTAATGACATAAACATTCAACATACCTTTAATTTTCACTAGTTTTTTTTATTAATTTAATTTAATTATTTATTACATTTGCCGACAGATTCCTGATGGACAGTTTTACGGTGCACTGAACGAACTGCTTAAGAATATAAGATGTCGCCTGGGTTGCTAAACGGGCACTGTTTTCAAATGTCCTTATAATTTGTAGACTCCGGCGAAATTTTCGAGTATAGCGAAACGTTGGGGGTTTGTTATCGTGTTGGTAATAACAAGGAAACTTTATTTATTTGGTACCACAAGTTTTCTTTTCTTTTTCGTATCTTTATTTTAATTAAAGTAAAGTTGTTCCTTCGTGTGATATTCGAAGGTTATACTTCTTGCACTTCTACCAAATAAACCACTAAATTTCTTTACTAACTCACTAAACTCATACATTTCTGAAGATTCCCGGTCAACACGGTTTAACTTTTCGAAAACGGTACCCCAAAATTAACATCTTGGAGGACCGTACTGGTCGCCTTGAATCTCACAACGCGAATTCTTTTTTCCTGGAGAGTCGTACTGATCGCCGCGAATGACAAGTTCCAATTTCTCCCTCTTAATTAATAAATAAAATTTTGAACGCCCACAATGACGGATTATCTCCCAAATGGCAATGTCTAAGTTGTATTGGTTAGTGTCTTTCTTACTACCAATCACAGGAGGTTTTAAGGTTGTTACTTAATTCCAAAAACAAGGCAATCGGCAGAGCTATGAAATGTAATCCTATAGCGGTATAGCCCTATTAAAACGGATATAAACTGAGCCCTAACTGAGACACCCGGGCATGGCGGACGATTCGAGGCAATTAAAAAAAACAAGGAGGAGTTCATGATACTACAGTCGACCATTCCAATCTGTACTCTGACTAGCAGCAGTATTCATCTGGGAAACACGCGATCTTCTAATTTTAAATTAACGCTACCGTTACACTAATCGTGACACAATATGGGCGTCAAAACAAATGGTAACATCTGTGGATGTACTTCTTTTTCTTAAACCACGTGTAGTTGTTTTTCGCGATCCCTAAGGAGCTCCTCGAACAAGCGCGAATCATCAGCTATGCGCCCGCTACTTTAGTCTAATTTTAATTCTCGGGGTTGACTCTTGGTTATTGACCCGTATCTAGTTGGGCGCAAAATTGTTTGAGTTAGTATTAGCGGCGTCGAGTATGAAAACCGCAGAATTAAGGTATAGATATAACCACAGTAGTACATCTGCGATATAACGTTTGAAAGTGATGTCCGCATTAACGAAAGTGGACCCTCCATTTGATTTTACTTCATATCTCGGCCTCCACCATTAAGAAGAGGTACGATTACAATATAATGTAAGTATTCTGTAGGTCCCAAAACATTTTCAAATCAATGTTCATTCTACAGCGGCCGGGGGTAAGTAAATAGATTATCAACGTCACCTTACAATGAATAATAACATTCATCTTTACGAAAACACGATTTCTGTGGGACCTTTCGACTTATATGAGTTATGATCCTAACTAAAGCTAGATGAAATTAAAAAAAAATAAAAAGATCGACGCGAGAAACCATCTGTTCACACAATGCCTTTAACGTAGAAATTGTCAACAACGTCTTCTAAAGCAAAATATAATTATCCCCAGAAGCTCATTGTCTTATTCTCAACGTAGAAAAGTCATTTGCTTCAAAAAGAGGAAATATAACAGATTGCAAGATGTTCTGTCACGTTAACGAGATGTTTCTTAATTATGTGACTAAACTGAGTAAAAAAAGTTGTATGTCTTCGCTTTTTACAAATAGAAAACTATAAATCTGCTTCGCAAGTGTTCTTATTTCAATTTACAAATAGAGCTCTCAACTTCATCATGTCTAAATCTAATCTTGTAATAAATGAAACCAATTTTACTGCGAATGAAAATAAAGAAAAAAAAATATATAAAGCGCACACAAAGTCCGGCTAACACTTCCTAAGAGATCCACTGTGATATATGTTCAGCTTTACTAATATTGAAGTACTTAAACGTATAGATATTAATAGCCGAAACGTTCCACGCGAAAAAAAGGAGGAAACTTAATGAAAATGGATTTAAATCTTTTTCATAAAACGGCAAAGAATAATGATTAATAGGATACTTGAAAACTTACAAGTAATAAAATCTGAAGTAGGACATTCCGAACGAAATTCCATAATATCGGCGGAGCTACAACCGACAATAAGATTAGAAAAGCCTTCGTTATCACAGTCTGAAAATCGATCAACTCTTTTCGTTCTTATTATATGGTCAACTTCTCCATAAAAGGTCTTGGAATGCCTGTCAACGTGGTAGTTTTGTCGGAAATGATACATTTCGACTTGACGATTGTGGGTCGACGATCTTGTTCGCCGTCCACCTTTGATTAAACTACGTACGGCGAATTTTCCAACGTACGGACACTCCCTCGATTCTGGCGTTGCTGCTGAAAAAGTGACGTTTTAAGCTGGGGCGCACTGAATTGTTAACGTGCGCCACATTAATAATTTTAACGACGATTTCTAGGTGGTCCGCATTATAAATACACCGCGGTGAAAAATAAATGAGGTAATTTTTACCATTTTAAAAATAAATACGCATTCTTACTGACTAAAGTGATGTATGGAATCGTTGCTCTATTAAAGTAGGGAGTAGTGCACGCATCCTCCATCCTTTTAGTTTGCGCACCTGCCTGTACCTCCATCACGTTGGTGTCCCTCCGATAAAACACCATGCACGTAAATCCGCTTTGACTGGAACAAATAAGAACAAAATTAGCGTGTTTATAGCGCAACGAGGGACGCAGTGCAAAAGACATACCACCCCATCGTATAATGTGTCAGAAGCATCACGGACGTCTCGTCTCGAGTTGAGTGTCTGGTTTGGGCGCAAACCACCTTCATCTCCAATCCCGACGAATTTGTTATCCTCAATGTGGAATTTCTGTGGTGGAAACTGTACGTAACGGAGTAGTCGAGCGTGTGCCAATGGTTGTAATTTGCCAACCATAAAGGAAAACGACACTTACTCAACGATGACGCTAAAAAGAAAGGCCAATATGTAAACAAATTCTGATGATACACGCTAAAAGTGCGGTGAAAATAGGTATAAGAAGCGAATTTCGCGACGTAATTTCATGATAAAACAAGCTTCCAGTTTCAACATCTAATCAGGCAGAGGGATTACATGGCAATCGATATGACCTATTTTGGATCAACTTCACGACGAAAAAATTTAAATTGCGAACGTTAGGGTTTTACAAGAAATTGATGGAAGCAAAAAATCATATTCTGTTCTCCTAACTTAAGAATCTCCCCTTTTTTGTACAACATAATTAATGGCGACGTTTTGTATTATAAAACTTTTTGAAAAGTGTCTTTTCCAAAATGCTTATAAAGGGCTCTCCACAAATTAATCGTTAAATAATAAAGACTGAGGAGTACTAATGATTACACCTTTATCAAAGTCACATGACGTATGAATAATCTCTGCAACAATTACATCGCTCCGCGATTATTTAAGTTACGGCAAAATTAATTTGAAGTGAAGTGTGGCAGCCATTTGTCAATTTGTCATTTCAGATAAGCCTCTTACACCAAGCATGTAATTCTAATGCACGGGATTATCCAAAGCTCTAAATCTTGCCATGTGCTTTTGGTTGGCGCGACAATAAATTTTGCAGAATGATCTTAAAAACTTCGCGAATTAATTATCGCCCCCACTTTTCATTCGACAGGTTTATTATTTAGTAATATACACAAGATTGGACTAGAACAAGTAATAACATTTCCCCTTCGAGAAAAACACTAAAAATTCGTGCTAATTGTAGCACGAAGCGTTTTTCCGTTGCTCACTTGCGAAGCTCTAGCACGATCTTTCGAAAATTTGAGTCAGACATAGGTAGTTTCACTTCTCTGTGCCTGTTCATAAAAAGTTAGTAAGTTTTTAAATCTGCGAAAGTTGACATGAATTTTGTCAAGATTACGCCTAATTTAAACAAATCTTGAAAGACAGTACATTTTCAAAAATTTTAAAGAAATCCTAGTAGGTATTTCAAAAGCCAAATTTGGTCATTTATATCAAATGTAAATAATGTAATCCAAATTTTTGGTAGACTAAAAAATTAGTAAAGGTTTTTGAATTCGTAATGTTTGAATTTTGGAATTCTTCTTTGAAGACTTCAGATTATGCCGATTCTTCCAAATCTTCACTTTCGATTTCTCACAGATGTACAGGTTATTTAGATTCTTCTCAAATGCTTCAAATGTTTCTTCAGTTTACTCCGTTTCTTCGAAATTTCCGTTTTTTTAAATGCACCGAATTCTTCAGATTCTTCCGAATGTTCTTGGGACACTGTGGATATCCCGTAACTGAAATGTTTTGTCTGATGCTACAAATCCTTTCTATTATATTAGATTCTCACAATGCTTTAATTTTAAATGCTTCACACCTTTTCAAATTCTCAAGTGCTCCATATAGAGATATTTCGATTTTTTGAACTTCTTCAATTTTTAAAATTTCTTTCATTCTTCTTATCAGGCCTTCCGAATTATTAATATCCTTCGAATCCTTTTCATTCTCCGAGTGTTTCAGACTCTTACAAATCTATGGATGTTTTTGTTTCTCTGAATCCACCCATTTTTTTAATTGTTAAAATTCTTCATATATATAATAGAATTTTTCAGATTATGGTTTTTTTGGCTCCTCAATAATGATTTAGAGCATCTTGGGATCGTTCCGTTTCTTCGAAATCATCTGATTTTTCAATTCTATTTGGATTCATTATTTGTTGCGGATTATTAGACTGCTTCTGGGTTTACACTTCAGTTTCTTTCGTTGTTTAGCTTTTTTCCTGTCTATTTTTCGGGCGATTCAGATACTGTGATTCCACAGGCTCATCAAATTCTTAAGTTTCTTCCCTCTTTCCCCCCCTTTTTTTTTAAATTTTTACGATTCTTGAAATTGTTCTAATTCACCAGATTTATATACATATAATATATGTAAATTCTTTTGGTTGTTGACTATTCAGATTCTTTAATTTTTAGCGCATTCTTTAAGAATTAAAACACGTTTTACCATTCATGGATCACTGGATGATGGAGGGGGGAGAGGGTGTTAAAAGATTAGGACGTTTGGGAGCCAACCCCAAAGAAGTGGTAAAATGTGTATTTCTTCTTTAATTTTTTCTCAGCCACCATAAAAGTTACAAAAATGGGTGGCACGTCTTTGAATAGGTTTCCGGGTATGTCCTATCCGATTTTGAAATTTTTTTTTAATTTCTACCACGAAAGGGCGTACCCTTACTTGGGGTGCAAAAAAATTATGATTTCGACGAAATTTGGTATCTGGGGGTTTTTCAACATGAAAATTAGGAATCACGAAATTTGTTGTGTACATACGTGACGAGTTGAGGCACAACATTTTCGAACCGTTTTTAAAATAGCTTTTTAAAGAAAAGTTATACTCATTTGAAGATTGGGCCTTTGGGTTACAAAGTGTCCTTCGCCTATTAGTCAATGATCTAATTTCGCATGTAGTTAATTGAAAATGTTGCAAACAAAAAAAATAACGATTTAAGTCGAAGTGTGACCGTATTAATACGCGAGCGAACATTTATCTGTTTCGGTGTATTATTGGATTAAGTTGTTAATATTTAAATAAGTTGTTACCACGAAAGGGTTAAAGTCCAAGGTGCAAACCATTCCGTTGCGCCAGACTTGTAGTAGCAAGTTACGTAAAAAAACAATTTATAATCAAAGTTGTGCATCTAGTTTGTTTATGCGAAGTGCGAACAAGATTATAAACAAAACGGCTACCGGTAAAAATGTTAAAGACAATTAATTCAAACTCCTGTTTGGTGTTAAATCCCTAAGTAATAATACACATACATTTTTGACCCTTACACACTGCGGAATATTGGTAATTTATTACCGTGAATAATTCACAATTCACCTAATTAAATCAAAGTAAGCCTAAAGCACGGTTTCTTCCTGAATCAAATGGCGCAAACCCAAATGAACTGACAGACTGAACAGATTATAAGACGACATAAAGAGCCAACATTCCGCATAGTAAGAGTATTTAGTAAATTTATTTATTAGCCGTGGTATTAACCATTTCATTCTAATCCATTACAAAACAAATTATCGGAGATTCAACTTAATATTAAAAACAATGATTTCCGATCACGATGAAAGCTCAAACATCAAATGTGCTTGTTGGTTTTTCGAGAAAACCTGAATGCGTACAAAAGCGGACAGGACGTATCCGAAAACCTATGTAAATCCGTTAATTACATCCCTTATGTTTTGAAGAAAAAAAATAAAAAAACGCAAATTTAGGAACTTTTGTGGACAGCAGATTCAAAATACAACTAGGGGTTTAAAATATAATTTGAGACCCATGTCCATTGGTCATATTTGAGTGGATCGGTATGGATCGTTTAATTAAGATTCCGCCTTAATGCAGAACCTTTAGTACACCTTATATGTTATATAACTAATTAATTAAAAAACAAACAAATTTATTAATGTTCCTTCATCACTTCGTAGAGCTTTACCGTCTTATCGATTAAACGCGGACATATAATTAAAATAGAAGCACAACACAGCAATTAATTAACAACGCAGTAATCAATTGTTTATTAATTAATTAATTGTGCTTTGAGCCGCTGTTCATTATTCAGCCGTTACCAAAACCACAGCACCTAATTTATTCATAACAATTTGATGTCGTTAAATTATAATTATGCGTTCCTTCTCTTCATATATGCATACAACGTGTTCCTAAGTGCACATCACCTAAATACGCTGCGTAAGCACTAATGACTGGCATACCACCAAATCTCAAGTTAGGATTGATTACTAGAATGCAGTCACTTCCACTATACCTTATTGATTAACATCGAAATTGAATTTTAAATTAATTACTTCAACTTAACGTCACCAAATACATTAATTACAGACGCCTTTCATGCCGTTTAGCACAACTACTTCTAATTCCACCTTATGGTAAATTAGGTACTTGATTAATTATAATGAAACTAACACATTTATTTACAATTCCGGATTTTGTATTCTGGAAAAAGCTTCGGACACACACACTAGTACTTTTTTGCATTAAAAATTTTACATACCTACAGGGTGTTTTTATGTAGAGGGGAGGAAGTGGGCATTAATTTTTTTTATGAAACACCTGGTTATATTGTGGCAATTTATATTTGAACAATACATTCTGAATCCTTTTCGTATTTGTCCTGATCATAAAATCTAGAACTGTAAATGAATTCGTTCCTTGCATTATGAATGCACTGTATAAATAGGTAACGAATGAACTAGTTATTGAGATGATACTAGCCAATTTGGTAAAAACATAGAGTAGATAATGTACCCTGTGGTAAAAAGCACACATTCTAATTAACACCAAACGTACTAATTAAGTTGATAATCCAAAAAACTGACAAGGATTTGACACATTGCTTTCTATAGTTTTGAGCTGTGTGCCAGTGTTGTGTGGATACAAAATTTTGAAATTGGGGTCACAATTTGTGACACAACCCCCAGGTTTTCTGCACGAAGAAGAATTTTTGAAGAGATTTTGAAGCGATTTTGAGGAGATTTTAAAGAGATTTTGAAGAGATTTTGAAGGGATTTTGAAGAGATTTTGAAGAGATTTTGAAGAGAGGAAGGAACTTTAACAAGACACGTACAGAAGAATTTTATATATACCTAAACACGAAAATAACGAACAAGGTTATCCAGCACCATCGGCATATAGACGAATATAAAACTCATCAGCACGTATGCGGATTTATGCTGGTGGCAACAACAGGGTCGGAAAACCAAGTGCAACGGTCAGCCTGACAGAATAAAGAAAAGGTTCCATGCCATGAGCACAGGAAAATCTCTATTGTAGCAGATCCGTATTTTTAGTGCTATCAAAAAAGCAATAGGCATCATGTGCTCTTTTTGGATCAAACTTAAAATATGGTACAATATTCGCTTGCTTAACTGATACGGGAGAAAATAAAAAAATTT